GCTGTGGCATGACCTCAAGAAAACGATTCACACCAGACATCCCAAGAATATTGCTGAACTGAAACACTTCTGTAAAGAGGAATGGTCAAGAATTACTCCTGACCGTGCACGTCTGATCTGCAACTACAGGAAATGTTTGGTTGAAGTTATTGCTGTCAAAGGAGGTTCAACCAAGTTTGAAATCCAAGGGTTCACATACTTTTTCCACCTGCACTGTGAATGTTTACATGGTGTGTTCAATAAAACATGGCAACATTTCATTCTTTGTGTGTTATTAGTTTAAGCAGACTGGGATTGTCTATTGTTGTGACTTAGATGATGATCAGATCACATTTTATGACCAATTTGTGCAGAAATCCATATCATTCCAAAGGGTTCACATACTTTTTCTTGCAACTGTATATAAAGCCAATGAGCAGCAAATGCATAAATCTTGTATATTAAGCCAATGAGTAGTAAATGCATAAACTAAGTGTATAGTGCTAAAAAAAGTATATGCATAAACTTGGTTTATAATGCCAACAAGCAGTGAATGCATAAACTAGGTATATCATGCCAAAGAGTTGTAAATTCATAAAATGTGTATATCATGCCAACGAGCCATTTGTGCCTATCAAATTGTCTCCCATGGCCATCTGTGCACACAAAGAACCTGCCAGTGCCATATCTCTTCCTCCAGCCTATTTGTGCCATTTTTCTGCCCTAGTCTCTCTGTGCCATGTCTCGTTGTGCCATCTCTCTGGGACCATAATATCTGTGCCATACTCTGCACTTACCCCAGATCCTGCATTTACCACAGATGACCTCCTTAGGACCTTCCTAGTGTCCAGTGGGAGGCAGCGTGGTCCCAGTGTACTGTGTATGTGCACAGACACCCTGTCTGCCTGCCTCTTGTGTTCTTGATACATCCTGTCTGTAAGTGGTAGCAGGTCACGTGACTTACAACCTTTTACTTCCCGGGACACTTGGGAGCACCAGAGGCAGATAGGCAGGTGCACATACAAAGCACAGTCACTGTGCTGCCTCCCCACAAAGATGGCTGGATGGTATATTCCTAATGCTGGCACTAGCTGGATTACCAGGACCAATGCAAGGATTCCTGCCGCCCTAGGCAAGGATCCATTTGGCTGCTCCCATCATTTATTGCTGTGATAACTGATGTATTCAATGCATTTGGTTGGATTTTAAATATAACAATGGTGGCATTTAATTTATAAAAATTGTAGGGTTTAATATATGTGACGTTCACTGTAAGTAAAATATTTTTTTCAATATAATTTATAATTATGTATTCTAAATCTAATTCAATATATAGGAATCTATTTACATGGTCACACACACACTGGCACACACACTCTAACTCTTACTGACATATTCACACATTGCCACTCACACTAGTTTACAATCACTTTATTTACACACATAAACTTAACACACACACCAATTTACAAAATATAGACAAAATAATCCTAATACCAAAGTGCTGTGACTGGAGAAGAAGGGGATCAGCCTCCAGCCTGCAGGAAGTTGTCCTGGTTTCTGAATGGGAAGCAGGAGAACTGTGCACTGATCACAGGCTGCTTCCTACTCCCTTCAGAGTGCTTCTGGTGATCACAGGCATGGGACAGCCTGGACACCAGGCCATGTCCTGACTTTCCCTGCCTGCAGGATGTGTTATGTTCTGCTCAGGTGCTGGGGTTACAGTAAATTCCACTCCCTGAGCACATTATCAGCAGTGACATGGAGGGAGCCCAGCAAATGAAAGCCCAGTGCTCTAATCTCAGAGCGGAGCAGTTGAACAGGAAACTTCCTGGTGCGCTGGCCCTGGGTTTACCTGGGTTTTGCCCCCTGGCCCAACCTGCCCCTGGTCCTATCCTAGTAATCTAATGTCTGGTCTTATAAGATTAACCCATTTACTTTGGAATCCTTTCCTCCTGGGACTGTCTGTAGTGCAAGGTTAAATAGGGTCCTGGAATGAGACACATGTGAAAACAAGGGGTGCAAAACCAAGCCAGTTGGTCTGACTCCCAAATATATTTATATATTTAACATATGGAGCATGTGAAACTCTCCCTGTTGACTGGACCTCACATTTGATTTTTTTTACAATCTTTTACGAACATATTTCTACCCAACTGTCTTGAACATCACTGTTTTTATGGCAAACATTGTAATTCATCCAACATTCTATTTTCAGATTCCTGCTGCACCAGTTATAAAATAAGTGAGAAAGATTAAATATAGAAATGAGCAACCATGATCAGAAGCACAGACTGAAAGAAAAAGCTTTTCTTTGACCGAAAGAGGTCTTTAAAGGCTTGCACAGGGACCTTTTTTCTAAAAAAAAATTCCTCAGATAAAAAAGATTAATAGGTTTCATTCTTTACATTTTGTTACTGATATACAATCAGTGGATACAATACATTTAAAAAATATTAAACTTGAAAAAAATAAAAAAGGATTTGAAACCTTCAAACATATTCAATAAATATTAATGCTATTTCTTTCATATTTTAGGCAGAATCACACAGTTGCAAATTAAATCGAAGAAGATATATCCAAAATAAATTCAATAATATACTGTGAGTGCAAATGTAAAAGTATTTATTAAAGATCCAATTATTTCAATCTACTACCTATTACTGCTTTCAACAAATATACACCCTGCTCCAAATTATTATGCAAATTATATTTTTCTCATTTACCTAAATAATTGATGTAAATAACAATCAGCATAATTCTCATGTTATCAACTATTAAGAGTACAATTCAAATTTTATTGAACAAGCCCTGAGACACAATGCCATCCATGAGTTAAACTGAAAAACTAAATATTTAATCTCTGGACACTTAAATAGAATTTGCATAATAATTTGGAACAGGGTGTATTTTCCATGATAAGATTTTGACTATAATACCAAGACACTCACACCAGTACATGCATTAGGTTATCCTAAGACAAATGCATTAATATTATACTTTACTGGAGTAAAAATATGAGAAATACATTTAATAGAAATCCTTTTTATTTTAATTTTTCATCTGTTGCTGAATGTAGCAAGGGCTTTTATGTATACGAATATGATTTAATTTGAGATAGGCAGACATATACTATTACTTGTGAGAAGTGGTGTATTTAGTATTTGGGCTGCCCTAGGCTGGATGGTGCTCGGGCACTCCCCCCATCCCCCAATTTAAATTTTCCCAACCCCTTCTGGTCAAGGCCGCACTTTGACAGACGCACACTCACTGACAGACGCACACTCACTGACAGACGCATAAACTCATTGACAGACACACAATCTCATATACACTGCCAATGACATACACACACACACTATAACTTGGACACACACTGACAGACACACACACACTGACAGATGCACGCACTCACTAACCGACACATACACACTCACTGACCACACACACACACACACACACATTCACTAACAGACACACAGATTCACTCACACACACACACAGACACACACACACTTACAGACACATACCCACACACTTACAGACACATACACATTTCTCTTACAAATTTTTATTTCACTTACTTCACTTACAAATTATTTCACTTACAAATTATTATTTTTATTTTATTTTAAATCCACCCAGCCTCCCTGGGAGAGCTGGAGTGGATTGCTTACCTGTCTAGTGTTGCTGCTGGTCGGGCAGGCAGGGGATGCACAGGCTGAGTTAGTGGTGCTTAGTGATGCTGGGAGCCGTTCTGACTTCATATTCCGGCTCCCGGCTTCATTAAGCGGCGCGGAGGGAGCTGAGCAGGAAGTGCTCAGGTGAGTATCGGGGGGCTCAAAAGTAGCCAGCCGACCAGCTCTTGAGCCCACCCAAGGACGCGAGGCAAGCAAGGGATCTGCCTGGGAGTTTGGGGGGTGGCAAAAAAAACTCTCACACACACTCTCACTCACTGACAAACAGCCACACAGTGACAGACACACTGACAGACATACACACACACAATCACTCAGAAACACATTGACAGACATATACACACAATCACTCACATACACACACTGACAGCCAGACATACACACACTGACAGCCAGACACACACAATCACTCAGATATACACTGACATACATACACAATCACTCACATACACACTGACAGACATACACACACTGACAGGACCCCCCTCCCCAACCCAAACTTTAACAGATTACTTTTTTTTTTTTTTAGTTTAAATCCACCCAGCCTCCCTACCTTTGGGAGTGCTGGGTGGATTTTTTTTTTTACCTGGGTCCTGGAGTCCCTTCTGACAGGAAGGGAGGCAGGCGGGCGGCTAACTTATAATCCATGCAGGCGGGCGATGCTGGCGAGGGAGCTCTGATTAGTGAGTTGTCATATCCCGGCTCCCGGCATCACTCTGCGGCGCGCGAGGGAGCTGAGCAGAGAGCTCACAAATCAGTGTTCCCTCGCCAGCACCGCCCGCCCTCATGGATTTTAGTTAGCCGCCCGCCTACCTAGATTGTGTGTTAACAAGGTATTTGCCTGGGCGTGGGGGTGGCGTTTTTTGCTGCAACCTGGAAATTGCCGCCCCAGGCAAATGCCTTGTTTGCCTCGCGGCAAATATGTCCCTGCTTGTGAGACTGTAAATTGACCTCAGAGAGATCTTCTAACATACATGAACAGGACAAAAAGAACCACACACTATATTTTAGAGGTACTTATTTTGATGCTTATAAGACATAAATGACAGAGCCTATTCAGAGGGCTAAACATCTAATCAGCCCCACTTATTATTACTCTCTCTAACACACAGAGCCTACTCTTTGTAGATTGCTATTTATTACACGTCCCCTCCTGTTATATGTGTACAGCGGGTTAATGGCTAGCTGGTTTCACAAATCAAGCTTACTCATACATTTACTCATTACTCATTTTGCTTAATGAAAGCTACCCTAAATAGTTTCTCAGCTGAAGGGATAGGCTTTGGATTTTGGGTTTTGCTCCTTTAAAACAGTTTGACATTGGAGTGTTCGCCGCTCTCCCGCCCGCTGTTATTGTGGAGCAACATGGCTGCCTTCCTGAGCAGCTTCTCCCCGCCAGCAGAGGGGGTCCAGCGGCTGCAGTCAGAGACTGAGGCCATAATGGGCGGCAAGAGCCTGGGCCCCGGGACCCTGTACATAGCGGAGAGTCGTCTGGCATGGCTAAATGGCTCAGGACTTGGTTTTTTTTTTAAATATCCTTCAATCAGTCTGCATGCCATTTCAAGAGACACCAGTGCTTACCCAGAAGAACATCTTTATGTCATGGTGAACACCAAACTAGGAGATAATGAATTGAAAGAGTCCACTATGGATGAAGAGGAGGAAGAGAGTGATGACGATGAGGAGCCCATCACAGAAATACGTTTAATTCCTGCTGAAAAATCTGATTTAGGAGAGATGTTTTCTGCTATGTGCGACTGTCAAGCTCTCCATCCTGACCCCGAAGATGAAGATTCTGATGATGATTTTGAAGGAGAAGAATATGATGTTGAAGCTCATGAGCAAGGACAGGTTGATATCCCCACATTTTATACTTATGCAGAAGGCTTGTCACACCTCACTACAGAAGGTCAAGCTACTCTCGAGCAGTTAGAAAATATGCTGGCTAATTCCATTGGCGGTCAGCACATGATAGCCGGAGTACGGACTGAAGGGACTGCAGCAGAGTTTGAAGATGGAATGGATGTGGAAGCTGTTCCAGCAGTGGCAGGACAGTTTGAGGACGCAGATGTTGACCACTGATTGAAGGATGGAAACCTGCTCTGCAATTTATACACCGTTGGAGTGGGCAATGCTGTGACCACTTTAGTTAATAATAAATTGTGTACTATCTAGCACAAGTCCTTATTTTCCTTACACCTGCTTTAAAAAAAAAATCAGTCTAGTCATTCCATGAATATGTAGTTTGTGACAATCTCTACAGCGGCTCTTGTAGACCGATAACTGTTACAGCTCAAACTTGGGAAGAATTTGCCATTAACTCGCAATTTAGAAGTGCTGGAGCTGACCCCTTTTTTCCTTTCTTTTTCTACAAACCTGCTAACATCCTTCTCTATTGGAGAAAAGCATCTCAATAGCCATTCTAGATTGTTCTAGAATATGTAGTTATGTAGTAACCTTGCTAATGTTTAGCTGTTAAAAATTTGATTTAAGTGAAATAATAATAAAATGTCCACATCCGCTTGCATTGAGCACTTAGACAGGTTTTTGTTCTGTATTTAAAGGAATTGTGTCACCAAAACTAAAATTACATAAAGGATTATTCAATAAAGTCTGTGTTCGGAATTCAAAATTAATTCCAAGTAAATCTCACGATTTTAAAAGCCAAAATAGCGGAATTCCATAAGTTGTTTTTTTTGTTGTGTTTTTTTTCATAGTCTCCAAGTGGGCTATGTTTTCTTTGGCAAAAAAATATAAACTTCATTATGATATCACAGTTTAATGAATAAGTGCTGATTTGTAGAAACAGAATATCTAGATTTTGGCAACGGACAATGATGGATAACCTTTCTCCCACAGCTATTATGGAGTACGGTCCATCTAACCAATTTAGGGAAGTAGTTCTAGAATGCCATAGGCAAGCAGTCACTGGGATTGGATTAGGAGTATAACATTGCAGCCCTGCCTTGTCAAGGAAACTCTCTCCAATGCCTGTGTGCCGAGGCGGTTTATTGAATTTCTAGATATTTATTTTCTTGATCAGAGTATTTTGTTAGCTGATCTGTATCACAAATGGCCCTCGATTTGATAAGCTTTCCAAATGATTTAATACTGTCCCCATAAATTACTGTAAAAGTAAATGGTGTCTTTTGTGGATAGATTTTTTGGGACTTAAGGAAAGTTTTCCCAATCGTATTGAATCATTTGGAAAGTGTGTTGGATCGAGGAATTTCTCAGGGTCCTCAGGGACCAGAAACAAATAATGTAACAATTAAAAGCAGTCAATACAGAAATGCATACTGTATGCATTTCTGTATTGACTGCTTTTAATTGTTACATTATTTGTTTCTGGTCCCTGAGGAAGTTCCTTTGTATAGGAACGAAACGCGTAGGACCTCTTTTTTGTTTTATCTCATTTAATGTGGCTAATGTATATGGCCTTTTTTCTATAATAAATCTGCATATTTATTTTACCCTACCTATATTGGAGTCTCATTCCATTTTTTGGTCCGCTTGGAGTTCCAGTGTAGAGTGGAGACGTTCAGCCGCCCAAGTTCATCGGGGCAGGCACCTTTTTGGCGCATTATTCATTTGGATCTTGTGAGTACATTATTACATCAGCGCATTATAACTTGTTTTGCTGTATTACACTATGTATTTTTTTCTGTTCCTGTTTTAGATTATGTACAGCCGAATCTCATTTCCTTTTGTGTCTATTTATCTATGATAGATGCCCAACATGAAGAGAACAGGTAAAAAAAAAAAAAAATGCTATTATGGAAGAATACAGATTTTGAAAAAGTCAAAAGTCTACGAAGGTGAAGATGACCCCCTTAGATGGACTGAAGTGTGAATGTGCTAAATTTTTTTAGTAATTAATACACATTAAAATGTATTATTAAGTTAATTGCATAATCAAAATCAACTACATAGCAGAGATATATTTAGTATGTATATATAGTTTAGAATATACACACATAATTATAAAAAAACCAGCATTGATATATTCAGATTTCCATTGTTGAACAGTCATATGCATGTCAATTTTCATTAGTTATCTACTGATATTGCTCTTTTACTTTCACATAAATTGTTTTTCATCTTTAACATTTCCTCGGGTGCCCTAGAATGATTTACAAAGAAGTTTTACTCATTGGGATAAAACAAGGTTGTCAAGCTGTGAAATTCTTAAAATACTGGCTAACATAAAGGGGCTTTCAGAGCTTCTAGCTAGTGTGCATGCCAAGCAGTTCAGGATGCTGCTGTCAGGAGCAGTGACACATGGAAGTGTTTCCTTTGTAATCCTACAGCATCCATGACCTACCACATACAGAGAAAGGCAAAAGATCTACATTTTCCCATTAATTTTAGTTGGAGATGTTGAAGGGAGGTTACAAATTGAATGCACTTTGAACTTTTAGCCTGCAGCTTTCCAGCCATAGCATGCCACTTACCTCTTCATTCAGTTTAGTCGGGTTTGTATTTGTCCTTTATGCACAGAATCTCTCTTGCTAAGCCATATTCAGAATGTGCTGTTGATGTATCTGTTGTATTATTCCATGGCATAAAAGGTTTGGCAAAGAAATTTGTCTCTTGAAAATTTAAAGGGTAAACTTTAGAAATGGTTGAATGTGTCTTTTGTCAGTAGTCTAGGGAAATGTAAGCCTTGGTTTCTTGTAGGGGGAAGGGAAATGGTTTGCTATCTTACTAAACAAAAATAAGTAATGAATGATTTAAAAAAAAAAAAAAAGAATAATATGATCTTCCTTACTCTTTTGTGTATATGTAGTGTAGCAGCATTGACAATCAATAGATAGCTTAGGTTCTCTTAATTTAGTTGACTGACAATGGTTTTGTTAAATAAAAACAAACTGGTAATTAAAATTGAATTAAAGATAGTCTATAAAATATATCTACATTAAACAGTGTGCATAATATATTCTGAGATATATTTTCAGAATTTAATACTAAATAAAAAATAATTTAATATGTCAATAATTCTGTCTCTACTTATTAAATAAGCCATATGTTTAAAGGGATACTCTTAATATAAGGACCACAACAGTGTAATATAGTGTTTGTAGTATTGATAGATGGTCCCAAGGGTCTATAATTTGAAAACTGTTTAAATTTACTTCTACGGACAACTATAGTGGCTGTCACTCAGACAACCAAGGTGCTTCATATTATAAAAAGTAATAAAAAAGTAATATTGCAGGACCTACACATGGCACCTTTATACTCTGCATGAAGACATCGAATGCTTCCCACACAGATTCATTGGGATAAGACAGACATTGTGTTTTAGACTTCATTATGCATTCCTGTAGGTACCCTTAGCAATGGCTGCTATTTTCAACACATATTTTTTATACTAAAGCATGGGTTGTGAGTGAAGTCTAAAATACAATGCCTATCTGTGTTCATTTGCATGGCAAGCAGGGAACTCCGGATAGTTTTCAAAATAAGATTTCCCACATTTCTATGCCCAAGAAAGACTTTCCAATTTCAAATTCTAATTCTGTGGGGAATTGTATTTTGGCCTCACCAGAATTTTTTTGACACCTAGCTACGGTATATATTTTGTCTAATTCTGATTTAAATATAAAATAAGCCTAATATACATATATATTTTAGTTTTGTGACACCAGAATAAATAAGTGTAAAGTCTCAAAAAAACATGAGAGACAATTATTATAAGATGCAGTAAAGAATATTCTTAGACCAAATCTATACATTTATCCCTGTACCATGGTAGGGTGTATAATCAATATTGACAAGTAAAACAAAAGATAAATAAACAATAGTGTAATTCTATATAGACAAATTGTGAATCAAATTCATAGCAATACACAATACACGGCGCAATACATTACAAGAAAACCCTCTCACATTTGCTGGAGCCTAAAATAGATTGTTTTAAATCTCAAGGGCTTCTGTGCCTTTAAGGCAGCACACTGCCTTTATCTCTGGCCGTGATACTGAACACTCCCCGAGAGAACTCAAAATAAAGTCCAGTTTTTAGTGCAGTATATCAGCATTCAATTGAAGTACAGCAAATTAATTAGACATCTGCTCACCTTGCACGGAACCTCTGATTTAACCCGGCTCTGAATTAAATCATAAGATGACAAGTCATGATTTAAGAAAGTACAGGAATATTGTGGAAAGGGTGTAGGGAAAAAAGAGAAAAGCAGTGATTTTTTCATTTAATTTTTAATATAATGCATTAAAAAAAACAATGGTTTAGTTCAAGCATTGAATGTCCCTTTAACATGTGATATCTGTAAGACCTGCTAATGTGTTCTCTAAAACAGGCTATTTTTCTATTTCTAAAGTTTACATTCAAAATGTTCCCAAAAAACTCCCACGCCCCTCTGTTAAATAGGGCACTCTAAGGAATATAACCCCTGCACCTTGTTATAGTGGTTATGGTGTAAAGATTAAACATACGCAGTCTTCATTGTTTGGGCCAATCCAGTTTCAAACATTTTATTAAGAAGCATAGCTCTCTCAGAACATAAAGCCCAACTTCTTTGAAGCAGCTGTACGTTAGCTTCCCAACTTTGGAATGGCAATGATATTCTTAGAGTGCTGGGGGAAGGTTAGCGCTAACACTTTGATGGTCGTTAAAGTGATACTAAAAGCTGGGGCTTGGATAGAGCACATGTAGGTGTTTTTTTATTTTGTTTTCTATATACTTTGCGGCTGAATACTATAGCCAATAAATCCACCCAAGAGCCACTCAACCTTTTTATAGTACATTTACCAACTCCCTTATATATGTCATATCAAGGATTAATTATTCCTTACCGGTTTATAATAAATTCTACTTCTGTCTCATTAGAGATAATACATTGAGTTTACCACCAGCCAGAGTTACATATCATGAGACTCACTTAATTTGCCCTGCAGTGGGGAGGTTAGCTTACACTTTGGTGATTTTTACAGTTGTACTGAATACTCCATACTTTTAAAAAATATACATTGGAGTAAAGTACAAGTAAATGTTTTAGTTAATTATCTAAGTATATAATTAGGGAATACATATCTACTACAAATCATGCATTTCGGCTGTAAGTTGTAAATTAAGTGTGTTAAAATAGCTTTATAAAAAATGTCAACATGTACTTTATGAAATATCTTGAAATGCTTTTTTCATACAATTGTTTTGGAATTTAAACATATAGGGTGCTATAAAAAATAAACTGCAAAGATAAAATCAATACCAGATAACAGGGCGCCATAGTCACTCTAGTTGCCGACTTCTATGAGATATTCTCACAAATAGATAGAGAGAGAAAAAAAACAGTGAAAATCTAATACAATTTATTGAAAAGTTAAAATCAACAGAGATAATTAAGCAATGGCACAATACATAAATGTACAACAATCCCAATTATAAGCCCAAATTGGCAAAAGAACCCTTAAGGATAGCAGCTTCTTATAGCATAATACAAAAGATTATATTAAAGTGCTAACATACAAAGATTTTTCAAGTAAGGGAAAGTATAAGGTGGTCAATATGCCGCTAGAACGGCAGCTGTCACCCACTATTCCTTCACAGCAATATTATTATTATTATTATTATTATGATATTTATAGAGCATCAAATTCCGCAGTGCTTTACAATGGGTGGATGAACAGACATGTAGTTGTAACCAGACAAGTTGGACACACAGGAACAGAGGGGTTGAGGGCCCTGCTCAATGAGCTTACATGCTAGAGGGAGTGGGGTAAAATGACACAAAAGGGTAAGGATGTAGTCAAAAGCACAAGGTTTGAAAGTGCAAAATGCAAATTGTTATAAAAGTAATTAAAAGACTGCTATTACCAAATCACAGGGTTCTTGGATAAGACTCAACGTGTTTCGTCGATCCGACTTCCTCAGGAGTTTCTGTCTTCTTCCCGGTCTTCTCTCTTTTAAATCCACCAGTTTGTGCGTCTTGTTTGGTCACTGCACATGCGCGAATCACGCCGGACACAACGTCACACGTCATGACGCGTGGGTGGCTTATACGCACATGCGCAGCCACGCTGAATCGCATACTAACTGTATTGTTAATCAACACAACTGCATTTCCAAACATAAAGACTAGAAAACGTTCGGAATCTTGGCCGTTTCTGTTTACATTCCTGTCTAATTATGTCTACATCCTAACATCACAAGGATATATAAATGGGACTTAATGTAAAAAAGGCAAATAAAAACTAACAAAATATGAAA